GTGAGCATTTGTATATTAAGTGATACTTAATTTCTTATATAACTCTTCAACACTTGGACTTTAGATTATTGAATTTTTTGGATATATTGCTTGGTTTATTAGGTGAATCCAACGGATGGTGACAGTGGCACTAGATTCTTCGTGTATTGGACGGTAAGAGAACTAAAACTTTTCCTTTTCTTTACCGCCTTTTAACATGTTAAATCACCAATTAACCTAAAACGTGCTCCAATACCATTTTAAACATATTAAATCACCAATCAACCCAATAATTTAAGCGGGTGGATTAAGGTAAATTTAATCATTTATTTATGTTTTAACACAACCGTTAATTTTTGTCGTTTTTATTATCAATCTTCTACAAAATTGACTTGATCTTAATATTTGAAGTGTCTGATGGAGGTGCTACTACAGGATGTTACAATCTACTTTGTCAGGGCTTTGTACAATTAGATCCAACGATTACTCCAGACTTTCCTCTTTACCCAGCCTCCACCTATCAAGGACTACAATATTGACTATCAGTTCTCTGTTCGTCAGGTAATAATTTTGTTAATCAATTGAATCATTTCTATTAAGGATCTCACGTCGAAAAAGTCAAGGAACTTAACAATCCTGATTTACTCCATCATCTCATTACAAATTAGTTTTGAGACGAAACTCCATGAATATTAGATATGGTCGTATGAGAATCCAACAAGCTCAAAAAAAAACATCCAATCCAAAAATGGGATCCATTATCTTATTAAAAGAAAAAAGTTTTTTCCCAACACCAAAAAACGTCAGTTAAAGTCCATAAAACGTCGAGAATGATTTCTCCGAATGAAAATTTTCTCGTCAGAAAAATCTTTGGCCTTTCTTCATCGGAGAAGTCAAAATAATGACCGTCGTCAGATCTCGTTGTTGGGTTCTAGGTCTGATCTCCGCCAGATTGCGATCCCAACGATTTTGCACAAAAATGTCTTTTTCCGACGGTTTTAAACGTTGCGATAAATTGACTTTTTCCAACGATTTTTATAAAACTTCGAGGCTAATTTGACTTTTCCCAACCTTTTAAGTGCGTCGAAGTGATTTTTTTCGCGTTGGAAAAAGTCTTTTTTCTGTAGTGAGGGACAGGTTAAAGATCCCACACGTCAAAAAGATCAAAAGATCAAATGAGCTAATTAATGACCCACTTCTTTCATTGCTAATTGGTTTTGAAGTGAATGGATAATCTCCGGTATTCATATTACACCATTAGTTAACATGGTTGGTATTATATATGTGTTGTAGGATCCACAATCTAAGGAATTGGTTCCTTCAAGTGAGTGAGAAAGTAAATAAAACAATAGCATATTGGCCAAACGAGTTGTTTCCACATCTAACGAATGGGGCAGATCAAGTGGCATAGGGAGGCATCGCAAAGCCTTCACCAACAGGAGTGAGCCCTCCATTGGGAAACGGCCACATGCCAAATGGTAAAATCGACAAAGCTTCATACTTCAGAAACATAAAATTCATAGCACAAGGATTGGAAAAAGTATCACCCGATTGGAGAAACACAGTGAAATATGTGAGTAGGTGCGGCTGTTATAATTTGGACCGTAATGATATGGAATGTGGCCGCAGTGACATGTTCTATTGCTTCACCTTTGGAGGACCAGGGGGAAATATTTGTCGTCCAGGAGAATCATTTTCTTCCTTTTCACTTATGTTTACTCTAGAAATCTATATATAATGTGTGTTTCTATACTGTCTCGATTAGGTTACAAAAAAATCTAGTTTATTTGGGTTTGTGAATCATTTGCCGATCGGTCGTATATTGATGGAAAAACTGCATACTTCTATGGGAGGAATAGGTAGAAAATAACTAAAAAATTAAAAAAAATCAATAGAATAAAAAAACCATGAGAATTAACATGGAAAGCTCCAGATTGGAGAAAAAAAAACATTGACCCACAAAGAAAAATCTACTATTCGAAAATTATTACAATCATATAGATTTCTCTTCCCGACCTCAATTATACAAAATATTCTCTCAAAACAAAGTGACTCGGTTAACTAAGTTGGTATACTAAGGTTAAAGTATTTTGAGATAAATAAAATTAAGGTCATGAGCTGTTTTATTGTAGTTGGAGCACACCCTCTTATTATATCTTTCCGATGTGGGACAAACTTCACTTCTAATATTTTGTTAAAATTCGATATATATATCGGAGACGGGGTCGAGATGCTTATCCATATTGAAAAAAAGAGAGAATTTCAAACTTTTTTTCTTTCCACTCCCAAACATATAATTAAATATTGATGTCCAAAAACCAGCAAGAGGTTCCCACTCTTCTTTGATCGTCTTAGGCACTACAAAAAATAGGACTTTCAGAGACGAAATATTTTCGTCGCTGAAAAGAAAAATGCGTCGTAAGGTTATCAGCAACGAAAAGTCTTTCGTAGCAAATTTTGTCGCTGAAAGTGAGTCGTTGAAGGCTTTTGGCGACAACCGCGCGTTTTCGTCCAATTTTTGCGACGAAAATAGATTTCGTCGCATATTTTTATTAGCGACGAAATAGCATGTTGGTCGCCTTTTGGCTTTGCAACGAAAATGTTATTTCGTCATTTTTTTATTATTTTTATTGTTTTTATTTTAATTATTTCGTTTTAAATGTTTTAATTTTTAATTTTTTTCATTTTAATTTTCCTTATTTGCAAATCTGAATTTCCACACAACTTTGAATCAACCTCAAAATTCATTGCTAAATTTAAAAAGTTCAAATAATCAAATTGTTTGGATAATAATATAAATTTCATTAAACAATATATGTCATTCAAAACATTTACAAGTTTCTGAAACATTTAGGGTAAGGTAAAATTTGAACTTTGTGGGACTATTAGAAAAATGCTAGTAAACATATTGGATATGATACAAGTTTTTTTTATCGACAATAAAAGAATTTAATAGAGATTGATTTTTCAATACATTAAGCGCGAATTTAAGAATTTCAAAAAGATCAAACCACCAAATCGAGAGTTACTTTGATACATTATAGACTTTAATTGGAAAATTAAATCAAAAAAATACAACTCAAACTTCTCAACAAGCTATGATACCTATTAAAACATTTCAAGTTTATTTAGAGCAAAATTTAACTAACAAACTATAATGATAATGATTTTTTTTTTATTTTTAGTACATGAGTGTGGGGGATTGAACTCACAATCTCTTGATTGGAAATATATATATTAATTATCGTTGAGCTATGCTCGTTTTGACATAATGATAATGATTTTAGTTGGCTGGTTGTATATTAATTTATACGATATTGTTCATTTAGATCTTGTCGATGCTTACATTTATTTTCAAACTTTACTTGAAAAGATATTTTAGTAAAAAACATCCTAAAGGATTCTGATTCCTAACATTCATATTCGAATTTATTTTCATTTTGATCCTCTCTATTTCGATTCCTTGTAAGTATGATAAGATGGAGAAGGTACGAATTCCACACAAGAAAGTCATGAGAGTCGAGGGTGCCCTTTCCTCGTTTAGTTTTGAAGTACTTTTGCTAGTTGAATCTTTCTTTATTTTTTTTTTTTGGCCAAATATAAATGTACATAACATGAATTAAGGATTATGGGATGAGTAGGAGAGGAATGTATTTCCCGTCTCCATCTGACCTAGAATTAAAATATAAAAAAAAATTCTATGTTCCTGTCTCAATAATTTAAAATAAGGTAGGGTATAGTCCTTGTGGGGCATAGTCTCTCTCGGAGTATTAAATTTTTATTGACATATTGATATTTATGTCCATTAATTCGATATCAACATCAGAAGTAAAGCAATACTTAAAAATATATCTACAAAATAGAATCTACGTTGACATTTTGTTATCAGAATGTTAAACATAGAGATAATTTTGAATGTCAAACTTTTTTCTTTCCTCTCAAATAATAGTTTCTAAGGTGTGGGACTTTTCCAAATGTATAATTCAATATATTGATGTCCACAAAGTGTCAAAGACGTAATAATTACTATAAGCAATTATTAGTAATAATAAAGATTAGTATACAAGTCCATTTGAACGGGTCAAGCCATATACTCTCGACCAAAAAGTCAATATGAATCCATGTTTTACATGTTACGTTGCTAAAGAAAAAAGAAAGAAAAATAATAAGAGCCTTATCAAATTTTACTCTCGTATCTCTCGTAGCACTTGACATGTGTGTCAATTTTTACTCCAAATTTTTAATTTAGTTAAATTAATTTTATTATTATTATATTATTTTGGCATAATTCATGCTCAATATAGACTATTAAATAAACCTCTCAAAACTAACAAATTTTAAAATGAAAAACTTATGGAAGTCTATCATAAGGTAAAAATGATAACATTTAATTAAATTTAATATAAAGAATAAAATGAATATCAAAGTTTAAGGTTGAACTTGATTAAATTCAAAATTTATGGTAAAAATTAATACAACTTGTCAAAATTGAGTAGTAAAATTTAAATTGCTATTAAAAAAAAATTCCGAGATCCGATATTATATTGTTGGTAAAAAATAATGTCTAATACATAATATAAATCTAAAAGCCAAGGCTCGAGGTAATATGTTTGATCAAAATTTGGAGACTATCATATCCCATATACAAAATCCTTCCAAACAAACATGCATATCTAAAAATATCAAACATTTATATTTTCTTACATACAAATTTTCGGACATCAAGATTTTTAAAACAAACTGTCCTTAAATGAAAATATACCAATTATCATCACATATAAGTTCAACCAACTTTAATATTAACTCACAGTAAAAGTAGAATTAAAAAAATGAAAATATAAAAAACCTAAATTAAAGAAAAAAAATACAAACTTCTAAAACATGAATTTAGACTATATATAAAAAATTAATTTAGCCTATATATAAAAAATTAATTTGATAGTTGAACAAAATATTTTTGAGCATAATAATATAAATATAGATGAACAAAATGAGGGGAAAAAAAAGAAAAAGAAAAAAGAACTAAAACCCTAAAAAAATAAAACCCATTTCGCGGTTCTCTTCGCTCGCTTCCCGTGTCTGTTCACTCGTCACTCATCAGTGATCGAAGAAGCAAAGCGAAATTAGGAACACGATTCAGTGAATCGACATTAAAGATTTTGCATTTCCTTGTTCCTCCACAATCCCAACGAAGAGTCGTTTCGTTTCTGTTCTTCCTCAATCCCCATCTGATTTTGCGACAATGGATTCACGGGAGAGGCCGCTTCCTTCTGTACATCAACCCCAGCCACAATCCACGCCCCCCAACAGGATGATGCCCAACGCTTCGTATTCCTCGAATTTACCCAACGCCAACAATTCTTCGCCATTGATGAATCCCAATTCGGCTGCTGCCCAGATGATGTCCTCCGCATCGCGATTCCCTTTCAACTCTATGATGCCGTCTGCGTCCAAGCCGTCCGAGTCGCCGAATGCGGGTTCTTATGATGGATCGCAGTCTGAATTGAGGACTGGTGGCTTTAACATTGATTCCGGGAAGAAGAAGAGAGGCCGCCCCAGGAAGTATTCCCCAGATGGGAACATCGCTTTGGGCTTAGCGCCCACTCCCATGGCTTCTTCTGCCGTTCCGGGCGATTCCGGCGGCATGCATTCGCCGGAGCCTCGCCCCAAGAAGAACAGGGGAAGGCCGCCTGGCACTGGGAAGAAGCAGATGGATGCTCTGGGTAATCTTTGCTTTCCTTACCTGCTGCTTCGTTTCTTTTCTTTACGCTTGTTTTTTGTGACTTGAGTTATTTTTCCGGTGGGCAGGTACCGGCGGTGTTGGCTTTACTCCTCATGTCATTCTGGTGAAACCAGGGGAGGTAAAGCAAGAAGTTCCCTTTTTTCTTTTTTAAATATTTTGCTGTTGAATTTGATTTGGTGTAATCTTTTTCTTTCTTTCTTTTTTTTAATTTCATAGTTAATGGTATTTAATTCTTGTTTTTTCCTTTATAAATTTTTTGAACTTCTTTTGCTGAAAATAATATTAATTCATTAAATGAAGTGAGTTGGGGGCTCGATGGTTTAAGATTTAAAATCAAGATTCTACAGTCACATTGGCTGATGCACCATAAATTTTTTCCTTGTGGATGCGGATGTGTGAGGAAATGTATGTATAACTTTCATAATGTAAGTTTTTGAAAACAAAAAGAAAAATAGGAGGAAAAACTAACAATGGAGTGTGGTTTATAATAAAGATACATCACAACATAAAGGGTTATGGACCTCTTTTGTGAAAAACAGATACAGGTAATTTCCTTGGTTTACTCTTCTCGTCTAATTTTGTTGATGACATGTATGGTATGAGACCGATTTTTTTTAATTTTTTGCTGGTTTACATTTCCGCTTACTTTTGAGAGTATAAAGCTTCCTGGATTCTGAGGCCTAAGAATACTTCAATTTTAAGTTTAGATGTACAACTCTATCAATGAAGCGAAGGTAGGAGAAAATGAGACTAATATATGGACCTGATCACTAATAGTTTTCAGGGCTCTGATGCTGAAAACGCTCATATAAAATTGTTGCAAATTCAAACTCTTTTTTGTGCTTTTTATTTTGTATTTCACATAAT